TCTCCTTGAGCTGGTTCAGAAACGCGTAAGAAGGCATGAACACAACCATCCCATCAGGAACTAGACTGAGAAAGTTCAGCAATGCCTGCCCGAGCTCACTGGCCTGGTCTCCATCAGTGCAAGTAGCAGAATAGACAATGAGAGGCCATACCATTCCCTTGTCCCCTCGCGAGCTGTACTTGAACGACAAATCCCCACCTTTGGGGCCCCGGGAGACAGCAAGGGCAGTCAGGTTCTCCTTGGCAACAACATGCCCGCATGAAAAGGTCGCAAACCGATTCTCCAGTAGTCGGGGAAAGAGCTGCGTTCGAAAGTCGCTGATCTATTGATTTATCAGTCTATGACACATGAGAGTCAAACAAGTATTACCGGTTCCATTGTCCCGCCTGCCAAGACGACTGCCCTTGCCTCGTCGACAACTTCTTGGAAAGAGGGGGAGGGGTTAAGGAGCTGATAGCACAACGTCACAACCACTTTGCCGTCTATGACCGATTTCGAGAGGTGCACACGGCCGTCTTCATCGCTGTTCATCAAGACCAGCAGGAAGGCTTGTACTGCATGTAGCGGCGGATTTGTGGTACGTCGGGATTTAGTGAACTTTGTGTCGCCGTTCTTGACTTGGTCTTCGGCGAGTTTGTCGTTATAGCCACTGATCTACCGCAAGAGTCAAAGACATGCTGAGTTCCAAAGTATATTCAGCGAACCTTTCGAGCAATCTTGCTTTCCTTCAAATACTGTTCAATCTCCAGGAGGTTGATGCCGTCCACCTTCTGGCCCAGCGACTCGGCGACGCCTGCGATCGACAACATCTCCTCGTTCTTGGTCGCATCTGCAGATTGCCAGTCCAGACAGAAGTTTTCCAGAGCCGACAGGAAAGCCACCAAACGCTTGAGGTGGATTAGGTGCTTCGATGCTAGTCTCTTGCGAAACTTTGTGACATATATTGCGAGTTGACCTAGGCAGGTTTCCAGTGTCGTCGTCGAAAGAGTTACGGAGTGGATAGAGAGTACAGTGTCGATCAGATCTGCGCGAATGATGAGAGACGACGAGAAGAACGGAGGTAGAGGCACACTATGAGCTTCATCGATGACCACAACTTGATCATGTAAGTTGATGTCCAGGGCTTCTCTTGCCGATTTCTGCAACAGGAGGTTGTAGGGTAATGTTACCACCTGAATAACTTGTTAGCTAGACTGTCCAAACGGACAAACGTACTTCACCTCAGATTGTTTAATGGCTTGTCGCGATCCGTAGTAAGGGCATATTTTGAGCTCTTCACCTAAGGTAACGAGATCTTCAATATCTTTAGGCGCTGCCTATCCTAGCCGGTGAGTTGTCTGTCACCTCGTTTGGCCATGTGCATACCAGAACATGGTCTCGAAAATCAAGCATCTTTGACATTTCATCGTGGGAGGGTAGGAACGGGCACCCTTTGCCCTGTTTATCTATCAAGCGACATCAGATAGGTCCATAAATACGAGCTTGGTCAAGATACTGTTCACTAAGTCTCTGCAAGCCTCATCTAAATCCCCGCCTGCTTTGTTCCGAAGTTCGTGATTGATGCATAGGTTCCTGCGCGATCCGAGTGCGACAAATCGGGTCTTCTCGTACAGCGGGGTTTTGCGAAGCTCCGATACTAGTTGAGAAAGCTGTGAATGGGTTCGAGATGTGTAATATATCTGGTAGAACGGTCAGAGATGAGCCTGGCCTTGAGATGGACGAACTTTTGTGCAATCTGGCTCTTCCAATTCCACATCGATGCGCTGCCGCTGCTTGCCCATCAGTCTAAAGCAGCGTAGATCATTGGTTATTGAACTTAGGAAGTCGACGACTCACTTATCCAGTAAGACCTTCGTCTGCGGAAGCATGGCGTCCTCCCCGCCTCCGCCAGAGTTGTCATCCGGCAAGAATTCAGCTTCATCCATGTCTTCGGATATCATCTCTTCGAGCTTCTACGCTATCAGTTAGAGCATGCTGCTGACGGTAAAGTCAGGTGTTCCACTTGCCCTTTTCCTGTTCGCTCGTACAGCTTCAATTTTTCGCAATCTCTCTTCTTTTCGCCGTGCTTCTTCTAAGCGTTCCTTCATTTCTTCTTCTTTCGCTTCCAACGCCTTCTTGTGCCGGGCAACTGTTTGTTCGAGTATCCAATCTGGCTCTAGTTTCGGTTGAGCAGATGGTCTTGGTCTTATACAGAACGATGCGTACCGTCATCCAATTTCAGACTCGCACGGAACAGTGACAGTTCGCCATCCCGTGCCCGCTTCTTGTCGTCGTTCAGCCAAGTCAATGCACCGCATAACAAGCTAAGGGATTTTCCCTTGGTCATCAGCGTCAAAAACATTCCTTCAATAACGTCAAGTATACGCACAGTGCCAGTAGGAGACTCGAAGATGGCGACGCGCCGCCCTTCAATCGCAGCGTACAAGCTCTTCATCAGATCCAGTTGTATGGGATAAGGGGAGTAGGGGAAGACAGGGAACGCGTCGGGGGTAGCCAGCACCAGTTTATTGGCCCCTTCCTCCTCCTTATTGTCACCCATGACGATGCAAGATGGGAGCAGACGGGCAGGACAGGATGAGAAGGGGAAGGGAGAAGAAGGAGTATGGAGTCGGGGAGGGAGGGGGGGTCGCAAGGGAAGGAAGGTGAGGGTGGGGGTGGGGGGGGTGAGGAGGAAAGATGGTGACGGGGGAGGATGGTGGGGGGAGGATGGTGACGGGGGAGGAAGGTGAGGGGGGGAGGGAGGTGAGGGGGGAGGAAGGGGGAAAGTGATGTTTCGAGTGCAAGCAGATGGGGAATCGAAAAGCAACGGAGTGCGTGTTAATAAAGGCCTCTGCGGAATCAAATCCTCCAACAAAACAGTAAACAGTTTAAAGTTGATGTAAAACACAACAAGAACAGGATCGAGCTGAGACTGCGAACGTCGCGTTCACCGTACTCAACTTGTGAGTCAGACGCGACGAGGAATATAACGCGACTTTCATGTGAAAGCGTTCGCGTGTCGGGAATAAGCATGTTCGGTGTTAGCATACATGGAATATATATAGCGCCTCGACTGCCTTTCTGGTGTGTACCCCACGGTATAGATTCTACCTTGTTATTATTGTCAAATGGTCCATATTGTAATCAACGCCCTGTGGAAACGGGTAGATTGCCCGGAGCATGTGTGGAATCC